TCTTAACTACCTGAGACGACACAAATTCTTGCATAACGGGGATGATGGAAGTGAGCAGGAGAACTTGTAGAGTAGAAGTTGATAAAAAAAAGGAAAGCTAATCCATCACAATCTCTTGATTACAAATTACTCTATCTTCTTCTGGCATGGTGCATTAAGTGTAAAATCACTCATAAAACAATTATTCCCTAATTCTTTTAAGGCTTGTAGCAAGCCAGTACAATTTTGAGATTTTTTTTGTATACTGGTTATGACAGAACTTGATGGAATATTTAAATATGGTTTGAAGTACCCAAGATTGGGAATTGGAACGGTGTAGTCTTTCTATATTTTTCTTTACAACATTGAGGGTGTGAATCACACCGAAGATAAGGATCATTCGGTCTGTTGGCAGGTATTTTCAATCCAACAATATACTAATCTGTCTTTTCTGAGACAAATGTGAGCGAGGAGGCTAATTTCCTTGGAGGCAATCTAGTAAAGGAAGTTCCTCAAAGAGTGGCTTTCTTTCCCTAGAAAAAGAAGGTTGTCTTAAAAAACATTTTGACAATCAGTAACATGCTGAACGGCTTTGATTCTGGTAATTGGTGATTTTGTAAGTGTGCCCTAGGGTTGTTAGGAACAAGGTTGCTAGGAACACTCATTAACTGTTGGTGCTTTCTTGGTTGGAGTTTTCTACAGTTAAGAACAAGGTTGTGAGGAGCGGGATCCTACTTATGATCGATGAAGGTGTCTAAGGGATCGGATTGTAACATCAGATGGTGGGTTGTAAGATCCTAAAGTATTACACCGACAATATAGAAATCTTGGATAGTCCAATGAAGTTTGTTAATTATGAACATGGTGTGACATTAAAACTCCAAAATGGTGTGAATTTATAGTTTATATACTACATGTACAAGAAAAATCAGTATTTCTATTACCTGAACATCGGATATACATATTTAAAGGTGAAAGTATGTCAAAGGTCGACCAATGGGATCAGTAGGATCACATCGATCCTATGATTTTTCTTAGCTTAGGATAGGGACCATGTAAAGATCCTAGGTAATTAAAGTCCTCCTTAAGATTCCAATCATTTCTTCAGTTTCAAATGAACTCCGGGCATGGATAAGAATGCATGTTAGCACAAGCAAGGAGAAGAAGAGATTGAAGGATTTCATTCCTCCAACAGTGAGAGAAATGTCAGAAGTTCATAGAAGGAGAAGCAAAACACAGCGTTCACATCCAAACTCATTAATGTTAGAAGTTTATTGAGAATCATTTTCCGCAGGGGTGGCAACCCTCAGTAACTTTTTACAATAAGTCTATCTTATGCTTTCCAGCAGAAAATGTGGTATAGCAATATGACTCTGACGCACTGCCAACTGAAGAATCATAAGAGTACTTACAAAATAAGGTGGGAAGAAGTTGACAGCATGATTTTGATATAAGATCATACATACAGATTGACCTTATATCCAAAGTTCTATTTCAGCCTCTCATCCATTCTTTGGCAGTTCTTTAGCTTTGACTATAGGATCTTCTAAACCTATCACAAGTAAACACACAAGTTAATGACCCTTTCAAGCATCCCAACATAAAACGAAATTTCTTTGCAGATCACACATAAACTGCGCCTGGTGTAATAAACTCCCGACCCAAAAAGTACCAATATATTTACTACTGATCCATGCTTTAGAGCTTAAGAAAAGGCCACCAATTGCTTAATGAGATCCAGAAAGTTCCCCAAAAAAACATAATCCCGGTAAATTTAGGTTTCCTCTTGTCAACCTAAAAGAATATTACATTAGCTGAAGACCTTAAAAGTCCTTTCTTGGAGTAATCTTTAGCTACAGCAATGGTATACTACCTCTCAATTATAGAGTAGAAAAAGAAATCTATTCCTAATGATAAACGAAGTAAAATGAGCCAATAAACCGTAGGAGAAAATAAAGAAGAAGCATGGGGAAGAAACCACACTACAATTCTCTTATTACTCAACCACATGTTCATGCATCCACTTACAACACATAGAATCTCATGAAATGCATAAGCGGAAAAAGTAATAGTAAACTCTTCGTGTATAAACAAATGGACATAAGGAAAAGCAATGCAAATAAGTACCACGATTATCAAATGTCTCAGGCACAACAAGAATAGCAGAATACATATTCCTTTCAGATTGGGGTATATGAAACTTCTCCACCAATATCCCAGTCTCAGATAGTATGCAAATCCTCATATACCTGAGAAGCAAAATTATAGGGATGAGCAGCATCATGCCAAATTATTTTTTCTACTTCACCGACGCCATACTATTATTGTATGACATAGCAAATGTATGTAGTACTTCACATTACAAGGGTGTTGCTGGATGCTTAGAGCTGACTCTTGATGAGGATATATGAAAGATATCGATGAATCTAACTAAGCAATTATTTTCTTTCTTCCTTTTTGGAGTGAAAGAGTGGAACTCAGTAATAACGAGACAGCACCTTCCTTCAGCGCGTAATATTAGGGGTTCTGATCTTACCTGCTGCATAGGATAATCTTGTGAAATGTTAACATGAACTCTTTGGATAGGACGGCACAAACAGTACGGCTCTATGGGTGATATTTTTCAGCTTCGTCACAAATGAACCTTCTGTTTTTACGTTCACCTAAGTCCACATCCATTCCTTCATGTTTGTCCAATGAAGTACTAGGCAAGTCTTTATTATTTGAGCTATCTGCAAAGCAAAGTTGAAAGTCATATAAAGAAGCACATACTAAAGACTTGCTGCAGATTTTCTATTTCAGCACAAAAATCATATTGCATTACACAACCTGTGTATAAAAAATATGAACTCGATCATTCATATAGCCCGGCAATCATAAATGCAGGGGACACGTAGGCGCAGGGGAAAAAAAGAGATGCTTCCACAAACACTGTAGATCATTTAGCAACCTGGACTATTTGTAAAATGCCTAAGACCTTTGCTCTGGCTGAGAGCCAACTCCACATATCCTTGAATAGCAAGAAAAAAATGAAAACAACCCTTTTCCGTTTTTGTAAACTACATATATAGTATTGCAACATTACGATTATTTTAATTTTTTTTTTCTTGCGGCTGGACATGAATTAGATTTTGTATATGTTTTGATGTCATAATATCTAACATAGGGCTACCGTTTAGAGTATCATAATTTCAATACTAATTAGATTAGTAGGCTCATAATTTTTTTTTATCAAGGGTAACTTATATGGGGAAAATAGGATACATGTTACATGATCTTTGCAATTTAGGATTTCCATTTTTTGCTTTGTTTATAGTTTTACATAGTCACCATATAATTAGTTATTAATTCATGAGCTCTTCCGAGTGCATCAATCACGTTTCCACATACAAGTGAAAAAAAGAACTCTTGAGTAAGGAATGAATGAAATAAATTTGGATTGTTAGGAAATGGATTAATTACTTACGATTTTTAATTCATATGTTTAATAATCAATTAATCTCTTTTATTTTTTTCACCATGCTTCATTTTATTAAATATAATGTTACAATAGTTTAGTAAACAAGTTATGCGCTTTTCCGATATCGCTTCCATCAATCGTGTTTATGCATAAATGTGAAAATAGAACTCTCGAGTCGGAATGAATGAAATAATATTGGATTTCCTCTTGTCAGAAATTAATTATTTACTTATTGTTTCTAATTAATATATTTAAATGACTAATTTATCTCTTCTTATTTCTCCTCATTCTTCATTTTATTAAATATAATGTTACAATAGTTAAGTAAACATTTATGAGCTCTTTACGTAGCCCCAGGTAAATTAATCATGTTTTTTCATATAAAAGATGAGAATGCACAAGATTTGGACACGTGACGCAATTATCGAAGTCTATTCTATCCAACCATGTAATAATCCTAATTGGAAAATGTTTTCACTTCCTATTTTATTGAAGATTCCGTTAACATGTGCTTTCATGGATTTGGCGACAAATACTGTCCTAGTTGAGAAACAAGGAATTCTTAGGACGCGAATAATAACCATTCTGTTTTCCTGTTTTTCTTTTTTTTTGTTCCCGAAAACAGGCTTGGAAAATCAACCCTTGTCAAAATAATTTCATTTTTTTATTTCCTCGTAACAAATTTTGCCCCCGAAATGATTTAGAACAGAAATGAGAAGTTAAAATTTTTGCTTTTCTATTTCGTAATGTAAATGCAAATAACAACTCTTTTATTGCTCACCCCTACGCCCCACCGCTGCCCACTCGCTCGCCACCCATTGCCGCATCCGGCCGGCCGTCTGCCACCATTGCCTTTGCCGGCCGTCCACCGGCGGCGGCTGCTAGCTAGCCTTTCCGCCGCTTGCTTAGGCCCTATCCGCCGTCCCTCGTCGCCACCTCCTTCGTCGGCCAACCGGATTCGCCGCCACCGCCGCCTTCGCATGCCATCCGCCGCTCGTTACCACCGCTTTTGCTCGTTGGCCGTCTCGCCGCTTTGTCACCACCGCCGCTTGCTGGCTATCCGCTGCTGCCGCTCGCCGGCTATCCGCTGCCAGAAATAGTGCCAGGAAAGAGAAATGTTATCATTCGTGCCTTTAGTTGCCAACTCCGAGAGTTTGTTTGATATCTTCTAGGGTCGACTTTCAATTCAAAGAAAACTCATTTCTTTACGACCTTCTTGTCCCTTGTGTTTAGCTTCTTCACTAAATCATCACTCCCATATCACCACTATATAACCACGAAAGCGAACTTCATCAAGACCTAACTCACTCAAATACGGTAACACCAAGTAACGGAACACACAACGGACACCAGTACTGATCCCAAACATGACCGAGCAAGCGAATTGAGAGCGTTCGACAAGACGAAAGCCAGAGTCAAAGGCCTCGTGGACATTGGGATCGCCCAAGTCCCCCGCATATTTATCCGGCCGCCCGACAGCGTGGCCTGCATCGAGGATCATGTGTAGATCCCGGTAATCGACCCAGGACGTGCGAACACAGGCGCCGCTTGTCGCGACAAGATGGTGCAGAATATTGGGCAAGCACTGGAAAAATGGGGTTTCTTCCGGGTGATCAACCATGGGGTCCCTGAGAGCCTTTTGGAGGAGGCGATCAATGGGTCGCACAGGTTCTTCGCTCAGGAGACGGCGGCCAAGAAAGGATTTTACACTAGAGATTTTGCGAAGAGGGTCATATACAAGAGCAACATGGGACTTTATAATTCAGTAGCTGCTGATTGGAGGGACAGTATATTTTGCTTCATGGGACCTGAGCCTCATTTCTTTACAACCTTCTTGTCCCTTGTGTTTAGCTTCTTCACTAAATCATCACTCCCATATCACCACTATATAACCACGAAAGCGAACTTCATCAAGACCTAACTCACTCAAATACGGTAACACCAAGTAACGGAACACACAACGGACACCAGTACTGATCCCAAACATGACCGAGCAAGCGAATTGAGAGCGTTCGACAAGACGAAAGCCAGAGTCAAAGGCCTCGTGGACATTGGGATCGCCCAAGTCCCCCGCATATTTATCCGGCCCCCCCGACAGCGTGGCCTGCATCGAGGATCATGTGTAGATCCCGGTAATCGACCCAGGACGTGCGAACACGGGCGCCGCTTGTCGCGACAAGATGGTGCAGAATATTGGGCAAGCACTGGAAAAATGGGGTTTCTTCCGGGTGATCAACCATGGGGTCCCTAAGAGCCTTTTGGAGGAGGCGATCAATGGGTCGCACAGGTTCTTCGCTCAGGAGACGGCGGCCAAGAAAGGATTTTACACTAGAGATTTTGCGAAGAGGGTCATATACAAGAGCAACATGGGACTTTATAATTCAGTCGCTGCTGATTGGAGGGACAGTATATTTTGCTTCATGGGACCTGAGCCTCCCCAGCCCCAGGAGTTGCCCGAAGCTTGCAGGTGAGCCAGTGGCTTCTAATGTCTTTTTCACCTTTCAAAAAAGGGAAAATTCATGAACAAGTTCACAAAGTGAATCAATGAAGATAGTTTGCAAAAGAGTTGCAGTAGTTCATATAGGTGCTAAGTAAATGCTTTTCACTGTATGATACTTGAGAGCCTTTTTTTATTTTCTTCAACAAATCAAGGGCTAAACTAGCACGTGTATGAAACTAGAGTTGTTCGTGTTTTTCTCCATTGAATCAGCCGGAATAGGTGTTGAACACTCAGGAAATGAAAGTGCCCAGTTCTTCATTCGGTCAGCAAAGGCAACTGCAACTGCCGAATGGGTACAAAGTTTCTCCCTTAAATTCCACTAGACATGTTATAGCATGTAATCTTGCATCTAGTCTCGATCAATGAGACGATTCAGTAAGATGATCCTCAAAGATTGACCATTTTCACTGACTGGAACCTCGGAGGTGGTCTTCTTGTTCTTTTTGGGCAGAAAAAAGGATGTTCCTCGACAGTTGACTTTGTGTGTTCTAGTGGTGGCAGTACCAAACTTTTGCAACCGAGATGATACAAAATACCAATACCCTTTGTTGTATTCTCTGGGAATCTGTCCGATAATACTTTTTTACAGCAGCTCTAGTTCAGTTTTCTGATACATCGCAATATCTGTGGCAGAGAAATGCTGATGGAGTACTCAAAGCATGTGATGAGACTGGGCTCGTCTGTTTGAGCCTTATCAGAAGCCCTAGGGCTCCACCCAAATCACTTGAAGGAGATGGAGTGGGAAAGGGACACGCGATCATGCCACTACTATCCCGCCATGCCCACAGCCCAAGTTGACCCTGGGTGTACAAAGCATTCAGACAATCACTTCCTCACAATTCTCCTCCAAGATCAAACTGGAGGACTTCATGCATCATGAGAACCACTGGATCGATGCCTCTCCAATACCTGAGCACTAGTGATCAACATCGAGATCTTGTGCAGGTAAGTAGCTTGGCCAGATATCATTGTTCATCTCTGAACTTTTCTGGAAACCGTATTTTGATTGGTCATTACATTGCGATCATCTTCTCGCCCTTATTACTATACTTCCGTATGCTAAGTTAGTTGAAGAGCTCTTGAGAATTCAGGAAGTAAATTACTACGGCATCTTCCCAGTAGCAATAACATCATGTTCTCACAATTTGGGATTTTCTTTGGTAAGACGAATCCATGTCTACCATTCCCAAATGCCTTATGCATCAAGTATCCAAACAGAGCTATTTAACTCATCCAAACCTGATCCAAACTTTGTTAGGTCATGCTAGGCCTCACATTCGCAGGTTCAAAATTGTCTAAATGAGACAGATGTATGTTGAAACAATGTTTTTCACAGCAGCGGTCAATGTGGGGTCCTAGATATTCTGCAGTTTTTTGTATTTATCAACGTGAAGAGTGTAATCATAGCAATAAGAAGAAATTTTGCTCCTTCATTTCTGAACTGAGAACTAACAGACCGAGAATGGTCCACTCATTTTGGCATTCACAGCTCATAACAAACGACCGGTTTAAAAGCGGGCCAAGCATTGAGTCATGGCAAACAAGAGAGTGTCGGTGGCATGCTTCACACAGTGACACTCCTCAGGCATCTTCAAGGCTGTATGGACGCATCAAGGAATTGACATCAGCAGACAAGCCACCAATCTACAAGGAGACTACACTTCCAAACTACACTGCCCATTACATTTCCAAAGGCCTAGATGGAACTTCTGCACTTCCTGATTTCCAGCTGTAGACTGTGTAAACTTTTTATGTGGTCTTATTGATGTTTGTATTTGAAGATAAGTGTGTGTTCATCTACTACCACAGAACAGGATTGCCTTTCTTCACTGCTTGGTCAACTGAAGCTTATATAGCTTCAACTGATAGAACTATGAGCACCAACTTCCACAACTCTCAAAAACAAAGATCATCCTCTAAACAAAAATGGTCTTTAGATGAAACAGAACCAATACTGCACAAAGTTACAACACTAATCTACCACGAGAAAAAATTGCACTTGCAGGAACATTTATGTTTGGTTCAGTCACTTTATATTGAAGGCAAGGATAAAAGTGGAATCTCTTAAGTAGCCATCAACTCACTCAACTACAATAAGCATAATCAACCGCAAGGCAAAATCTATCTACACTTAGATTTTTTATGAAACTATAGGTTTCCAAAGAGAGACGCGATGAGATCTGGAACCTAATTGATCCAATCGAGTCAACATCACATTAAGACGATACAACGATTGATCCAAGGGCCAAGACTACATTGAATTGTAATGTCATCTATCGATGGTCAACTCTGTCCTAACAGATTTTTTTTTCCATAAATTGCAAGACTTGTGTAGAGTAGCACCCAGCTGCCCAAAGACTCGGCCATTATTTAAACAGCATTGTCATTTTCTCAGCAAGTGTAGCTCATAAGCTAATGACTTTCTTCCTTCCATTTTTATGGACCTAATAGTTCTAAAGTCAAATGGATCGTCCCAATGTGATGTCACTGTTCTCTTCTCTCCATCTCTCAGCTATAAAGAAGCTGCTCATATCATCCATAACATTCAATTCATAATAAACTCATCTCCAAACAAATTCACATTCACAGCGAAATTGAATTGCAGTAGAGAGAAATAGAGAGAGGAACAATGCCTACCATCAATTTGGCCTCCGACTCTGGGCGAGCAGAGTTATGACAGAGCGAGCGAGCTAAAAGCGTTCGACGACTCGACAGCCGGCGTCAAAGGCCTCGTCGACGCCGGCATCACGGAAATCCCAGAATCTCTTCATCCGATGGGACAAGACATCGGAAGACAACTCCAATCGGGCGGCAGCCTGAGCATCTCGGCGTCCCGATCATCGACCTCGGCCGTATCGACCGCGACCCGGCCAAGAGGGAGAAGGCGATCAAGGGGGATGTGACGCCGCTCGCCGGAGGAGCCGCCAGAAGTTTGCAGCTGAGTGCCTCCTCCGGTCCCGGAGTCACTGGGACGCCATTTTCACCTGCGACGTTACAAAAACATGTTTTTCACAGAGACAAAGTAACCTTTTCATCTTTCGAGTTGACTTTTTGTTTTATATATATTTTTTATTTTACAAAAACTAATTTTATTTAACCAGAAAATGAAATCTCAATATAAATAACAATTTATGAGTGGATCTAACCTAATAATGACTTTCACGGCCAAAATTGCAGGGACGTACTGATAGACTACCTGAGCAAGTGATCAGCTTTGGGCGGCGCGTTGGGCTGTTCGAGCTCCTGTCCGAGTCCCTCGGGCTGAGGTCGGACAGCCTCCGGGGAGATGGGCTGCACGGAGGGCCTCGTGGTCATCTGCCACTACTACCCGCGTGCCCGCGCGCCCGAGCTGACGGTGGGGACGAGCGAGCACTCCGACAAAGACTTCCTCACGGTGCTCCTGCAAGACCACACGGAGGCCTCCAGGCCTCCGGACAATCGCCTAGTCGACGTCCCTCCTATCCCCGGAGCCCTAGTGGTCAATGTTGGCGGCTCTCGCAGGCAAGTCGATCCACCCGACTCGTTTTTATATCCGGCGACGTTAGTCGTAATATCTAATAATTTGCAGCAACTGGATCAACGACAATGCCGCCACCACGGGCACTTCGACAAAGTATTACTAGTGCACGGTCTAATGTCGTTGAATACAAAGTGCTGTGTCAATTATCGTAACACCCGAAATTTTTGCGAACATAGGCGATGTCTCGGGATCTAGGGAGATACTTTTTGCCTGGGGATTTCTTGCTCTTCGCGATCATTGGGGGACAATGGGGCGGATGCCGATAATGCCCGTCCCTCTTATTTCTTCCTTTCAAATTTCTCATAACGAACGACCGATTCGAAGCATGGAGCACGCAGTACCGGCGAACGCGTCGGGCTCGAGAATCTCGGTCGTGTGCTTCTTCAACACGAGCTTCCAGCCGTCAAAAGCTTTTGGGCCGATTAGGGAACTGTTGTCCGAGGACAATCCTCCGATCTACAGAGTAGACCACAGTGAGGGACTATCTTGCCTACTTCAAGGAACATGGCCTTGATGGAACTTCCCTCTGAGGCACTTCAAGCTGTGAACTTTACATTTTGTTTAACCAAGGAAGAGATGCACAATCCTTCTTGAACAATTAATGTCGTCGTTATGAATTTTAGGGTTTCAATTGCTAGAGATGTATTAGCCATATCACTGTAGCATTGTATTGATTGTCTATGAAATAAGATTCCTTTCCATGCTACCATTGTACCAACGTACATATTGTCATAAACTTTATTTGAACAAGGAAATTGATTCAATCTGCGGAAACTCAATTCGATAATAATTTGCAAACAGGGATTGCGCTTAGACATCAGTTTTGAACTGGTTGTGGCCGGTCGGATATAGACATGGACGATGCTCACCAAGTTTTCGAAGTGCTCAAGTATAGAAGATGAGTTCGCTAACCGACAAGGTTTCTCATAACTCGAGCGGTCAAAGATGACGAGCCTGTTTGCAATTTTCTGATTGCTTCTTAACTTCACCACTTCGTCATTTTTAAGCCATTCGTTTCCCAAATGCTTTTCCAAGATACCTGCGTTTGACCGGCAGTACGTAGGGAAGCCAACCGCAATTCTTGAAAGTCAGACGAACTTGCTATACAATAATTGCCGGCTGCTTCTTGGTCTTGTCATTGAATTCTAATCACTTTCTTGGTGATGCAACGCGTATAATTGTTCTTTCTTAGTATGATATTTAGATAACCAATACATCACTACAATAACATCGAAATCTCAAATTTTTAACTCCACTAAATCCACAGACATTTCAACATAATCAATCTAGAGCACACATCTCTTGGAATACATGGTCAACAACCAAGAAATCACTACTAGGAGTATCAACACGCAATTCATATTCAAGAGGTTCAGGCAACACATCAAGCTTCATTGTAAATTTAATAGAAATAAAGAAATATATAGCACCATGATTAAACATCACATAAGGATATTGTGAGGCAATAGAAATTTTACCTCAACTACAATCGTATTGGATACTGCAGAGATCCTCTTCCATCACAGCAAAACCTTCCAAATTATCCTCTGTCTTTATTGTTTCTCTTGGTGTCTACCAAATGAAGAAGCATTTCTCCACATGGAACAACTGCAAGTGCTAGGGTGTCCTGGTTGCCCGCACAGGTAACATGATCTACTATCAATTGGAGCATCTCTCTGTATAGGGACAATCCTGCCTCATGTGCCCTACTTTCACATAAGATACTTTCTTCACATGTATTACGAGGGCGCTGAGTATTTTAGGTTTCAAACGGTCTGCTGATGCCTCTTCGCTTACTACTACCACTTGCTTCTGAAAATCAGTGAACTTCGGGCAAATGTGCATTTTCTATCATTTTCAGGCCTCAACGGCTCCACTTCCACTTAATTCTTTCATGATAATGGAAGTCAAGTACTACTTGACAATTTTTCAAATAAACAGCTTGGGTGATAGGCTAACTGGGTTTGTCCCTTAGCATCCTGTGAGTCCGAACTCCTATCATATCAATCCTCTCGCCTCCTTTTTGAAGCCACACCTTGAGAACCTTGAGGCATATTCTCCGTACACTCGCTTACCTTTACTATTCTTACGAAGTGACACCGCCTCGAGTCAAAACGCATGATCACCCTGGATCCAAACGAAATATAACCTTAGCACCTAAAAGATTA